TGTAAATGTCCGACGTTCTACCTCGTCTGGCGTATATTTTGGGCCATTTACCACAGTAGCTGGCTGATAGCTAACCTCGTTAATGCCTCACAGAGAGGTGGTGGTGAGGGGGTCAGCAAATGGTTTATCTACCTCAGCAACTGGATGTACCTTGTGCTCACTCTGCATTCCTTACTAGACGCCGTTCTTGTCTTCAGGGCGAACTGCGCCAAGAGGGTAGCTCTCTCTCGAGGTAAGTAATACTATGATGTAATATATGATAATCGAAGAGGGTGGTTGGCGTGTGCTCGGATGTGGTGTGCTCGGATGTGGTTTGCTCCTTCTTTACTGTTAAATATCTATCGTCCTTATCTTTCTTTGTTATTTTTGTGTTTGTTGCTCTCTTGTAAAATCCGCTCTCCCTTTATCTTTATTTCTTTTGCTCTCTATTTACCTTTCTCCCTCTCTCCCGATCCTTCTCTCTTTCTCTCTCTGTCTCTCTGTCTCTCACTCTCTCTATCTGTCTCTCTCTCTCTCTCTCTCTCTCTCTCTCTCTCTCTCTCTGTGTGTGTGTGTGTGTGTGTGTGTGTGTGTGTGTGTGTGTGTGTGTGTGTGTGTGTGTGTGTGTGTGTGTCTTTCTCTGTCTCTCTCTCTCTCTCCCCGAGGGTTCCTCGTCTTAACCATGAACAAACCGTACTTATAATACTGAACACTTTTAAAAAATTAAAAAAGCAACTTCCGATCAAAGTGTCATCTAGGTTTTAACAAACTCACATTTAAACTAAAATTAATTACAGCGAACTGAGACTCAGGATTTTAAAAATTAATTACCCGTATTATGTTCTTCAGAAATCATGTTTATTAGTCAAGCTTTTCTTCCAAAAAAAGTTATGGCCACGCCTTACTGGTTTGTTCTAAGTGGATAGCCATTGTTACAAAAAGCTCAACACTGTCAAAATAAAAATGTCTGGGGAATTCATTATGGTGTTGGGAGCAGTCTCGTTATAAAGCTCTGGGGTTGTCAACTACACAAACAGACGAAGCCGGAGCAGAAATTGGCAGTCTGGGAGTTGAGGAGAGCACTGAGACCTGAGTCTGACTTTATAGTTCATTTTTATGCATTGTTTGGCGCCATTTTTATTTCACTTTCCTCGTGAAAGAAATCTGGTTGAGTGAAGGCGTCAGGCGTATGTAATCTTTACAGACAAAAAAACCTGCCTGTTTGGCTCCTTGGGAGGTAGGAAGAGTAACAGCCAGTGAACGTAAACACGCTAATGACACAGACCTGAACACAGCGTGGATTACGCTTTCACGCACGGCCCTCGCTAATTGGTGAGCATTTAGTGATATCTTAGATTCTTATCTCGAATGACTTGAAGACATTAATCATGGCTTTGAGAAATAATCATTGTGACATTTTTTGGGGCTGTGATGTAGTGGTTTCATATAATGTGCTCTTTGTTATCGTTTATAAAAGACACCGGTTCGATTTCTGTCTCGGATAAAAACAATGATATATCGAGTATCCCCATCTATGTCAGGGGCGAAGGCTGACTTGTTTGACAGGGTAATCAAAGTGAAATGGGACCAGATAGGGCCTGGAGATATCACACTCACACAAGTCACAAGAATCTTACTGGCCCTGGAGGCGGCAACTCTGAGTTGTGAATGAAAACAAATCCTGAATTCATGTTGTATGCTTGTTGAACCGCTAAAATAATCGGGAAAGTATTTAATTAAATATTTATTCTAACTAACCTTAAATTTAACTTTAGATTTGAACACACGAACACCAAGGAAAGAAGCACAGATGTCAGCACTACAATGGCATGTTATACCAGACAGCCGAAACACTTTGGTAGAGCAAGCCAATTATTAATTTTTTATTTCACATTTGGCTGTTTTTTGTCTAGCTTTTTCGCGGCCAGGAGCCGCTGTCATAATCGAGGTCACGATCTGATTATAGGACGTTAAAAAGTCGAGGAAAAAACCAAGCACTAGCAGTGTAGTAGCAGGAGTCAAAGGATTATTAGGAGTTAGTCCCCCTCACATCTGTGAGGTAGACTCGACCAGTGTAATAGTTCGCTTAGATAATCAGCGCGTCTGGGTGCTTATAACTGTGGCCCGAAAGGGGTGAACAGGGTATATGCGACAATGAAACAGTTCTGACTGCTATGCACATGTTCCCTTCAAATCTATTGGTTGACTCTTCCAGCCTCACTTTAAGCTTACTTAATCAAAGCTTGTGACTGCTTATGGAGTGGCCCGATAGGGGCGAACAGGCTATTTCTGTGGCAATGAAACAGTTTTGAAGGTTAGGCATAGTCTATTGTTCATTGGTGATTATGAACGTCTTTTTACATTTAATTTATGAGGTTTACGTCTATGGGTGAATTTGACTGCGACAATGTTTCAAAATTAGGAAGGGAAGCAGTGATTATTTGATTATATAGACGCTTCGCCTCTGATCTATGTAATAAGATAGTTTATCACATTCATTATCATGTGGCCTTGACAGGTCAGAGTGAGGCTGCCAATCTCCTAAATGATTAATTAAATTATTTATTTCGTCGATAAAGGACCTCTGCACACATGCCTTGCGGTAGCAGGGGATCAAAGGTATACCAACGGTCCCTGTCAGGTTCTTCCAGGCTGGTCAGGTCACCGGGGGAGGGGCTCGACCAAATGTATACACCTGCTGCGGGCAATGAGGATGGTCTACCTTAGCAGAGGCCTACAGTGGTTTAGAGAACAGATGCATTTCGAAGGATGAATATGAAAGGTCTGCATGCACGATAGTAAGATGTGTAGCAGACTACGATACGTCGGGAATCACAGAAGACGTTAATTTTGACCGACCACCGTGGAAAAGACAGGAAAAATACCACGCACGATCAGAAAGTAATGTAATGGCCGTCAACTACAAGGCGTGGGCTGGGCTACGTAATATGAAAGAGTGCATGGCGCAGCTGGCAACTCTAACATGAAGTGCCCGCAACGGCTGGATCGGCCGATCGCCCGACTCGGTCGCCTCAAAAACAAACGTGTTTGTTTTCAATTTCAGGCGATCTAGTTGGGCGATCGGCCCGATCCATCCGTAGTGGACACCCCGTAAGAGCAATGGCGGGTCTGACCAACAGATCCAGAAATTTTCTAGGAATGTGTATCGCATTATACAGAAGAGAGACCATGACGTATCGGGTTTCATTTACCTTCTTTTTTAGCGGGGGAAGGGGTTATTCCATTGACAAATGCTTTAAATAAAGTATTCGAATATATCTCATATCTTGATGTCTGCAACGATCAAGCTTTCTGTTTCTCAAAATTCGCCCTTTCCATTAGGAATTTTTTTCAGCTTTGATATCTCTTGCGTTTCCAAGGTTACCCGCTTGCTTTTTTTTTTCTTTATCAAAGACACAAAGTGTAAAAAAGTTCAACTGGAAGTATTCCTTTCATCTCTTGTGAGGTATCTTCTACTGAAAGCTAAACCGGCTGTTCTTTCTGGACCCAAAATAGAAACTTTTCTTTTGGCTGAGCAAACAAATGTTTTTACAAATAAATATTCTTCCAGGCTGGCACTAAGCACACCACTCTTGACCCTGTCAACAGGGAAAACATATTATCGTCCTCAGATTGTCGTATGCACCCGTTAACACAGACATCTTCTCGGCTCAGACAGGTCATTGCAACCCTAACATCTGTTTACTTTGAGCATTCCGTAGAGGAGTTTTATTGTGCCTACTATGTTTTGTCGGAAAACGAGCTCGTTTCTCGCGCTTTCTTGATTATTTTCCCAAAGCCCAAGAAACGTGAGGGTTTTTGGCCTCGCTATACGAGGCTCACACGCGTGAACCACACGTTTTGATTAAACAATTCATTCCTGTGACCCCTTGTTTATAGATATTGTTTATTGTTTTAGTCTACATCACCTATCAGGTAACGTATCATAACAAAGACGATTGAAAGAAATTCCTTCCGTACACATGAATAATGAAAGAAAATCAAACCGGTTGCGAATGGTTTCAAATTGCCTTTTCTTCCCCTTCTCTTCCATGTGTCATTACTGGCATATTTCTGGATCACTTTTAAAAAGACTATTTGAAATAAGATCTAGAGAGAGTTATTTTGACCCTCACGTAGAGGTAACGCAAATGCAATATTAGAAAACAATTTTGTACTGGGACTGCTATTGTTGTACTATGATTGCCATCTTGTTGAGCAGAAAGATATTTCAAGAGTTGAACTCACGCCACACTAATCCAAAAGAAAAGAGGCTGCTAATATTCATATGCGTGCCAACTGGCATTCTTGGTTTTAAAAGAAATATAATAACACTGTTCAAGAAATCTAAAGAACGTTTTGACCCTGTGCACATGAAAAGAATAAAAATAGTATGCAATACGTAAGCAACAGAGCGAGCTCTATCAGCACTTTTCTGCTTGTAGATAGAAATAGCCCAAGGGATCTGCTGGAGAACTCTGTGACCCGGTGGACCGTGTCATAATGTTTATTATTTCTTCTATCTTCCTGTATCACTTTTTCTCCGAGAATGTAAAATCTTCAAAGATAAAAGATAAACAATATCGCTCTATAAAGACGCGTCTCACAAGAGTTTCCATACTACGATTCCGTGTCTTCTGCCAAGAGAGATATTCTATTAAAAGGTTAAAAGGTATTACATGACGTCTGAAAATCCACTTTGTTCCCATTACGCGATGAAGTAATAGTCTCTGACTGCCAATAAATCTTTGATATTGTCGACAGGTTTACAATGCTCAGAGACATTTTTTTCGAATAAGAAGATCCCATTGGTTGTCACTGTTCCGTGATTGACTACTAATTCGGTAAAACATAAAAGTTTGTTGGGGTTTGAAGGACTAATAATTGTCTAAGAGAATAATATACGTGCATTCTTTTGTGAAGAAATATCACAGAGATAGTACGTGCGGTCGGGGTGGCTCAGCTTTGGAAATGAACAACAACGTTCCCCAAACATCGTAAAACGGAAAACAAATGAGAAATCCATCTTTCTATTGCCCCTCAGGATCATCATAATCATAGTTTTTCTCGTTGCTATGCGCGTTCACAGCATGGGATCTGTGAATATGCCAAACATAATGTACTTGGCAGTGCTGCTTTGGCTTTTGCTTTGCTTGGCTTCCCGAATAAATACCGTTTTTCAAAAGATAAGCGAAAGAACTCGGCGCCTATACAACTCCCCATGGTATTATATCGATAACGTCTTGAGAAAGG